ACACACACTGCAACCTGCAGGCGCCAGAGCCCTTCCCCGCCAGCGTGATAGGCGACAGTTCAGGCCTGCGGGCCGAGAGCGGCGCCTCACGAGGCTCAAGCGGCTGCTGCAGCGGCGACGGTGCCGCTGTGGAGCTTCCCTCATGCCAGATCATCCCCGCCCACGAGCTGGATCTGACCAGATCTGGCGCCCAAGGGCCGACGCCCGACGTGTTCCTTGGGAGCTGGAATGGCGTGGAGGTTGCGGCCAAGGCGTTTCGCAGTGGCCGAGGTTGCGGCGGCGGAGACGGCGGCGGCGGAGGCGCCACGATTAACGGCCACGCGGTGCCGGTGAGCGCGCCGCAACCTGGGACGAGGCCGCCGATTGTGGGGTGCGTCTCGGATCCCGCTGACGGGGCGGTGCCAATTCCTAGCCCCCCAGTCCCCTATGGGTCTGCGTGCGTCAGTGGCTACACAGCCAAGTGGATGCACATGCTTCGCCTGTGCGGCGCGCCCTGAAATGACGCCCGCACATGCCACGGCGCCGACGCTCCTGATGCCCCCGCAGGCTGCGATGGCCAGGGAGGTCATGGCCATGGCCGCGGTCGCCAACCACCCCAACATCGTCCGCTTCGTCGGCGCGTGCCTGGCGCCACCCCTCGTCCTGCGGGAGCACTACCCGCGCGGCTCGCTGCACCAGCTGCTATCACGGGGCCGCGCGCAGCTGGCCGCGGCGCCGGGCGGCCAGGGCGCGGTGGGTCAAGGGGGTGGGGAAGGGCCGGGGGGGCCCCAGCCGCATGCGGGTTTGGCCTGTTGCTTCGTAGCTCCAGCAAACTCACTACTGGTTGCAGGGAAGTCGGGGGTGAGAAGGGGGCGCCCCAGTTGCTGACTCAGCCCCTGTGGCGTGCAACGTCAGGCCCAGGGCTTGAGCGCCCCTGGACGGCCCTGCCGCATGCCATCAATCGTGACTGGGGCTGCCTGATTTTTTCCCACCCATTGGATGACCTCGCTCACGTGTCACAATGACCCGTCTCCATGAGACTAGCTCCATCTTCCGGCCCTTTGCCAAAACATGTTTGACCGGTCAACCGTCAACCCATTTGATTGATTGACCGTTTGACCGACCTTGCCGTGGACTGACCTGGCCCCGGCCCCGCAGTGCTCGCGCCACCTCGGCTGGGGCCGGCGGTTGGAGATGCTGGTGGACGCAGCAATGGGCATGAGGTGAGGCACGCGTGCGAGGTCGTACGCGTTTGGCGATCGACCCGAGGTTGGCTTGGACCCGTGTTCTTGCCGATCTGGTTGGCGGATGGGCCAGGGCGATGTTGTTGAGGGAGTCTGCGAGTGCGTGCAGGGAGTGTTGGAGTGCCTTGATGTGTCGGTCCCTGGGTCTGGACTCATGCAGGGCGCAACGGCGCAACCCTTTCGGCGGTGCGACGCCGGACGGCGCCGGGAAGGAACACCAGGGCTGCCCTGCCGCCACAAGACCAACTGGCCAGGCAGCCAGCAGCCGGCAGCCTGCGCGGCCGGCCAGCAAGCCCGCCTCACCGTCCGGCTCCCGCCCCCC